TAGCGCTTACACTAACTCCCATTAATTCTTTCATTCGGCAAAAAAGGGTGATCGATCGTTTTCCCTAGTTCTGGTGATGGGTTAAAGGTAGTTTAGTATATCTATATAGCTACGTTTGAAAAAGAAAGAAAAAAAAAAAGAAAAAGAAAAAAGAAAAAGAGAAAAGAACGAGGCAGAGGGTGATTGGGGGGATTGGGGGAAGGGGGAGGGGGTGGGTGGTAGTAAGAAAGGGGGCAAATAGGTAGAAAACAAATCGTTCTGTCAGCCGGTGTGTACTACGCGTTCTTCTAGCGAATCGCAAAATTCATACTCGACGTTGGAAACTAGAAAGTTTTCTTAATAACGAATTCCAACGTCTGTTAGCCTGTCTCCATTGTGTAAGTAGGTCGGTGGTACCGCATACGATATCGTAGTAACAACCGGCAGATTGTATCTCCTTTACGATTACAATTGTGCTTATTTCATCTCTGATTTTACTCCTTCCAATGTATTTTACTTTTATTATTATTATTACTAGTATCATTTCAAACTTATTTTTTCGATATCAATCAAATTTTCGTTTAAACGAAATGAGAAACGAAATGATGATACTTTTATTTAAATATCTTTTGTTTTTTTTTTTTCAATTATTAATGTTAATTATAATTTGTGTTCTAACATATATTATATACAATTATTTATATTATCGTAAGTTCGTTACTTAGTTTTGTTATTTTGTTATCAATGTTAATCTTTCAAACGTTATTTTATTATAATGTTGTAAGACATAGAGAATAATAGAAATGCGAAAAGCAACAGTAACAGTAACAGTAACAGCAGCAGCAGCAGCAACCCCTTCTGCTAATTCACAAAGAGAAATAATATACGTGTCGTGTGGTAACGCGTGTATTTGGCACATAGTATGTATCTCATGGTTCTCGCACTTGCAGGGAAACAAGTAAATATGTAACGTTGACGTATCCAACACGTCGTAATACACGTGTGAGCCGTAACAAAAAACAAAATACATAATAATACGCGAAAGATTCATTTGTGTGTGTGTAGATTATACGTTAACGAATCACGTACCAAACTATACGAGTAGAGAAATTTGACGTACTTATTATTTTACATACGTATGTATCACCATCACCAACAACAACAACAACAAGAAAAAAAAATATCGTAACGCGCTTGTGTTTGCCGATTTATCGTAAACACTCGAAATTATCGAAAAACAAATTTTTTAACGATACACTCATATATCGTTCTTTTTTTTTTTCGTATCGAAACTTTAAAAGAAAAATTGATGAATAACGAAAATTTGATCAAGATTTTAATAACTTTTTAATACTCTTGTATATTGTTCATACATCATATTATACGGTATAATCGATTAAACGTGATTGATATTTGTCGTATAGAAATACTCGTCACAACGAACATGTTATTTATCCATTTGCTATTTAACAAATAATCTCTCTCTCTCTCTCTCTCTTTTTCTGGTGATGTGATTTATTTGAAAAGTACATAATTCTTAAATTGTGTCACAAATAATGATAAGGTAATGCATTGTCGTTTATCCGTCACGAGCACATGCTCGTCAATTACATTTAACTGATTAAAAAAAACTCAATGCTTCGAATGAAATTTTCTAATATAAAACTTCTTTAACACAATTTCCATGAGAAATATTTAAAAAATATTCTAACAGAAAATCTCTGGAAAAATTAATTGCCGAGATGCCTGGAATATGTTAAATAGCTATTAAAAATATTTGTTCCTTGATATATAAAAAAAAAAAACATAATAAAATAATAGAAAATAATACAAAAAATATGTAAAAATTAGTACTCATAAATTGTTCTAAAAAAGTATTAATTTATAAATATATTTTATAAATATTCCGTTTTCCAGAATGAATGCAAAGGGTTTCAAATATTTTAGCCGATAATGTAGGGTGTTGTATGCATGTGTGTACGTAAATGTATGAGTATGCATCGCTTATTCATCATTCTAAAAAGAAAAAATGAAAATAGTGAAAGGAATGTTTCTAGGATTGCAACTCGATTCTCGAAAATATAGTGAGCACCGTCACATGGTGCATCTTTCTTTCTTTCTTTCTCGCGAAGGTAAAAAGTGTACCAACGACAAAATCACTTTTTGCCTGGTGAACTAAAGCGTCGAAGGGTTGAACGATCGCCACGGGGGACTCGAGTGCTTGGAATTCTTTTTCTCTATTTTTCTTCAACCCTTCCACGTCCCCTTCCACCCTGCACTTTGCCTCCTATCATTCTTTTTCTATGTTTTTTTCTTCTTCTTCTTTTTCTATCTTCGATAAATCTACGCTCGTCCTTACGAAAGCATAAACGTACTTTCATAATAATTTTATCCTATCCTACTCGCCCTTTCTTCTTTCTTCACCCACCCTCCCCCTCCACCCACCCTTCCTCTCCTATTTTTGTAATATATTATATATATAGTTAAAGTTTTATTTTTGTATATAGTTGAAAAATCGTCAACGTGTTTTACAAAGTTTTAGAAAACAAATTATCTGGGAAGAAGAAACGAAAAAAAAGGGGGAAAAAAAAAAAAAAAAAATAGAAACGCACGCAAATATACCCGTGAATATTTAATTACAAAGTTATAACGGAGATATATCAAAATTATAAACGACTAGTTTCTTGTTATCTGGTTACTCCCATGCAACTCACAAACTCTCTGGCAAATAATAATAGTTGAAACAACGTTTTCATGCTGAATCAAACAAGAAATTAGTCATTTATAATATGAATAAGTTTCATTCGCAATTGCAAATAACTTTGCGATAAAACATTTACGATTCCATATATTATCATATAAAATAACGCGTTTGTTATTATTTTCAATCGTGTAATCTAAACGATAACGTTTTTGATGGAATACAAATTGACGTATACTATACACACGTGTTATCTATGTATGTGTATATATATATATACATTGAAAATGTATTTTTTAATTCAATCGATTTGTCTTTTATTCAACGAAAAAAAACGACACTTTCGATTACGTAGAAAAAAAAAAAAAAAAAAAAAAGAAAAGTAATACAATTCTTCGATGTTTAATTCTCGTTGAATCGATGTTAACTGGTCGTTTATATTTCTTCACGGTTCGTTGCTGGCATAGGAGGAGGTTTGTATTCACGCGCCAAGATTTTTACCGGTAAAATTGCCGAAGAGGTGACAGAAAAAAAATAGTAAAATAGAGATACCCGAATAGAGAAAAAGAGAGAGAGAGAGAAGTTGGTTCCCATCGAAAAACTATCAAATTTCGAGAGTGCAATCGATGGACATTTACCAATGACACGTCAAAAATTCATTTTGCATCTTTCAACTTGTCAATACACATTTACCATACGTCTACACATAGATTTATATTGTTATTTTCTCAATATTATTCGTTCGAATAGAGAAAAAAGAAAAAAAAAGAAAAAAACAACTTCATCTTTGTAATATCTCGTTGAAATTCATTATCAACAAAACGCAAATGCGATTTGTCATATTTACGATTGTTTTTATTCGCTTTTAATTCTTCCCCGAGCCACTTCTTCTCTCTCTCTCTCTCTCTTTTTCCCACCCCCCCCAACCTCTCCTCCCTCCCATTTTCTACATTTAATTCATTTTGATTCGTTCGAAACTCAAGCTCTCGTTACCCCCACGTCAAGCGTTATCCCATTCGTACAATGGGACTTTGATTATCCTACGTGAATTAGAATGAATACAAAAAATCCTCAACCGTGGCCATTTTCGACATACATACGCCCACCTATGTGGATGTCTTCTTCTTCTTTTTTTATCCCCCTTTTTTTATTTTTTTTTTTTCTTGTTCCCTTTTAGACAGGTCAATAATCCCAAGGATGAGAATCAGAGCAAAAAAGAGAGATAAAGGATAGGACAATTTTAGCTTGTTGTCCTTTCACATCTTTCAAATTGGACCATTTAACTATTCAACGAAAGATGTTCTATATATATATATGTGTGTGTATGTGTGTGTGGACTTCATATTTTGAATAATCCTAATGCAAGTTTAAAACTCTTCACAACATCTGACGGCGTTTGTAGACATTCGGTTTCATTTCATTATTTTTAAATATTTTAATACCTGAGTACTTTTTAAATCATAAATAAAAATGAATAAAAATAATACACAAATGCGTTCTCGGTGTTAATAATATGAAAGATTATATTACGTCCTTCTCAGAAAGATTTAAAGAATGAGTTGTAATTAATGTGTTTTTTATAATAAGAATTATAATAATAATAATAATAATAATCAGATTAAAAAAAATCCTTTAATTTAACATACTAGCCAAAGGTAACAATTTTCGTAACTTTATCGAAAAATATCTTACCGTAGATAAAGATAATCTTCGAACTTATTCTTCTTCTGTAAGCATCGATAAAGGAAGAAAATATCTAATCTTAGATCGGATCCGTGAAATTCGATAAGTCGTGAGCAAACGTCAAAATTGTTTGACTCGAAAGAGAGAGAGAGAGAGAGAGAGAGAGAGAGAGAGAGAGAGAGAGAGAGTTTTCTCTCGTCAAAGAGATGAAAAGGAATTCTCTCATGCACGCGAATTACCAGGAACAACGTAACTTTCTACCTTTCGCTGGTTCTGTATCCTATCCTATAAAGAGTTAAACTATTCGAACTATTTGGAATTCTCGTTGCTGATGTTCGGCACGTTCTTTGGAGGGGAAGTTTACGAAGAAGAAGAACAAGAAGAAGAAGAAGAAGAAGAAGAAGAAGAAGAAAGGCTCGTTTCAATCCGACCGAAGTCAAAATACCATCAGCTCAATAATCAACAAACAAAATAACTTTAATCACAAACTATAACACACACATACAAAGATTAATTAGAAGAATATTATCAAAGATAAATTCATACAGAGAAAATAAATATATAAACGAATAGAAATGAAATGAAATAAGAAAGCATTGACGTATCCTTCAATTAAACTAATTATATTTTTACTAACCTGAATGAAATGCAATTTTGCTGGTAGAGACGTGTCCAACGGCAGGATAAGCGGCAACAACGGTGTGTCCGATCCCATCGAAGCCGAGGAACGTCACGAGGATTGTCCCTAACACAAGGATCATCTGGACAGTCGTCCTGTCACCTTTAGCGTCAAACTCGACGCCAGTACGAGCACCAGGAGAACAACGACCACGAGTTTTCCCACTCATTCCTGAGTTCAACACTATATATGGACACTCGAGAACGAACAATTCACCGATCCTCGCGTTTATAGTAAGAGGAGGAGGAGAACAACGACAATGGGATTTTAAATTGAACTATATACGCGTGAATAATATAGAAAATGATGGGAGAAGGAGAGGGAGGTAAGAGGTGAGGATATTAGGAAGAAGGGGAAGAGGAGGGAAAGGGGGAAGAGGAGGTGAAGGAGAAGGAGGAAGGAGGAGAAGGAGAAGGAGGAAGAGAGAGAAAGTAAAAAAAAAAAATAATTTGAAATAGAAATAGGTAAGGAGACGACAGATTAAACGTTCTCTCTCTCTCTCTCTCTCTCTCTTATCTTCCCCTCTTGCGTCCCGTATTAGCGCACCTGATGTCGCCTGGAGCGCCTTCTGCGTGCGTGGCACGTGCTCCGAGCAACTCTTGCCCAAACGACTCTGAACATCTCCTTCGCCGCTTATCTTCGACTACCTCCACGAGGAAGTAAATGTTACGCGGTTAACCTCACCACACCACACACGCTTTTCTTCTAGTTTCCCGCTTGGAGTTTCCCGCTTGCTTCCTCTGTTTCCTTGCTAGTTTTCTCGTTTGCTTGCAAGCTTGCTTGCTTGCTAGGTTGCTTGCTTGCTTGCTTTTACTTTGAGCCCCTGGCACTTTGAGTCAAGCACCACGCACTATTACTTTCTCTTCTATCGCTGATATACGAGAATTTCAACAAATAGTTCGAGAAATATGTATTACGTTGAAAACTATGTGACACACGAGTAGAATAGAGTAGAGTAGAGTAGAGTAGAGTAGAGTAGAGTAGAGTAGAGTAGAGTAGAGTAGAGTAGAGTAGAGTAACGTGATAACCACGCGAAACGCTACACCGAAATAGTGGAGTCAATTCTATAGCTCCAAGGTCACGAACACACGATAATCAAAAACACGTTATATCCCTCTCAGTGTTGTCCGTCCTGAAGAGAGAGAGAGAGAGAGAGAAAAAGATAGATAGATAGAGGAGAGAAAGAAATGATAGATGGATAAAAACCAAAAAAGGGAAAAAATTAGAAATAGAGTTGGGAGAAAGTGAGAAAGTGACAAATAATCCAGAATGTTATCAAAATCCTCGACTTTTGTAAGGTTATTAAAAAATAATACAAGAACGAGATGATATCGGGTAACCAAAAAATAAAACAAAATAACAGTTCGTTATAGCTTGTAGATCTCGTAAGACTTGAGGACGATGATGACGAGAGAAATCCTCGGCCTTCATCCACCACCTCTCGCCGCCTCCTTTTCACTCCACTTCACTCCTCTCCTCTCCTCTATCTCTCCTCTCCTCTCCACTCCTCTCCTCTCACCACCACCACCGCGCACACCACCTCCTCCTTCTCTCGAGACCGGTCCTGGTCCCTCTGTCCCGGGCCGTAGACTGCTGCCTGCCTGCTCTTCAAAAGCCTCGGAGTACTGAGTACGCTTCGCGATCCTCCACCTCCGACTCTGGAGCACAAGCCACCACCACCACCACCACCACCATCACCACCACCACCACCACCACCACTGCCAACCGCCGTCGATCTCCTCTCCTACTCCAGCCTACCTACCTACCTACCTACCTACCTACCTACCTACCTACCTACCTACATACCTACCTACCTACCTATATACCTACTACTACTACAATCATACTCCTTCTCTATCTACAGGAAAAACCAACCCCCTCCGTAACTTGCCGCCGATAAACTTCGTACGGGCATCCTCTTTCCTTTTCCTTCTATTTCTCTTTCTATCTATCTATCTATCTATCTTTTCTCTTTCCCTTTCTATCTATCTATCTATCTTCTATCTCTCTCTCTCTCTCTTATTCGCTCGCTCTTTCTTTCCACCTCGCACCCTTCCCTTCCCTTCTTCTTCCTCTCCTGCAGGTAGAAAGCCGTCGCACGGGGAAAACGTCTCCCTCTCGGCGCAAGCGCCAACGAAAGCTCGTGCCCTGATGCCCGGGCACTGCTGCTGCCACTGCTGCTACTGCCGGTGTTGTTGCTGCTGCCACTACTGCTACTGCTACTGCTGCTCTATTGCTACTCCTGACTCCAATTCTCTATCCATCTATCTATCTATCTCTATCTCTTTCTCTTTTTCTCATCCTCCACTACCGTTCCGGAGATCGACTCTCCTCTTCTCCTTCTTCATTTTTTTTCTCCACCCCCTACCCCCTTACACCCTTCCCCTCACCCCCACTGTTTCTTTTTTTTTCTTTCATACCTCCCTTTCTTTCTTTCTTTCTTTCTTTCTTTCTTTCTTTCCAGATGAATACTTCCTGTTGACTACTTTCGCAAATTTCACTTCCGATACTTTTCGAAGCGATCTATTATCGATCTTGCAGATTTATTTGTCTTATTTTTCTTTTTATTTTTTTTTTTTCCTACTATTAATTCCTCGAATACTACTCTAATCCTTCTTCATTATTAGATGCGAGAAATACGGTCTCCCAACCTTAATGCACCGGAAACACTGATTTTAATACTTTCTCGACGTACAATTTAATTAAAAATCATTATCACTTTTCTTTTCTTTTCTTTTCTTTTCTTTTCTTTTCTTTCTAAACGTATACACTAATTTCATTTTACTTTATGGGGTACCTTCTATGTACACATATTATATACATGCATACAATACATATAAGTATTAGAATGTGTTCTCATCGATGTGCTATGATATAGTGTCGCGTGACGTGTCAAAGACATTTTATATTGCAAAAGATTAAAAGGGAAAAGCTAAAGAGATAAAAAGAGAAAGAGAGTAAGAGAGAGAGAGAGAGAGAGA